ACCCCCCCCAAAGGTGGTGCCGCTGCTGCCGCGGCCTTTTAAAAAAAAAAGATATTTTGGAATAGGAAAAAAAATAAATAAAAATGGCACTTTTTGTCAAGGGAGGGGGCGTAGGGGGTGTTTGTCCCCTCCCCCACGCTGTCCCCGGGGACGGTTGGGGACAAGCGCTGTGGCCCGTGAGGAGGAATGTGTGCCGGCAGAGCGGGAACACGATGTCTGGGAGGGGGCGGTTATTTATGGCAGCGCCCGGGAGGGAATAAATAACAATAATTAAAGAAAAAGAACCCCCAAAACCCCCCAAAAAACCAAAATGCCCCAAAATAAACCTCTGTGGATGCCACTTCCCCGGCCCGGAGGATGTTCAACCCCCCCCCGAGGGGTCGGGGACACAGCCCAGTGAGGGGGGACCCCAATTGGGTGGGGGTTCGCGGATGGCTCATATAGGGGATTCGCAGGTGTCTCATATAGGGTTGTGCTGCGCACCCCGGGTGAGGGTGACGTGCGGTGGGGGCTGCTGGGGAGGGGGAAATCGTGGGTCGGGACCCACGTTGGGGCGTTGTGACCAACACTGGGGTGTCGTGACCCACATTGGGGTATCATGACCCACCTTGTGGTGTCGTGACCCACACCAGCGTGACCCACAGCACCAGATGGTGACCCCACACCCCAGTGTCACGACGCCACATGGGTGTAACTGTGGGTCACGGTGGAGCATCATGACCCACAGTGGTGTATGATGGTGTATCGCAACCCACAGCAGGGTATCGCGACCCACAGCGGGGTATCGCAATGCGCACTGCTGTGTCATGACTCACGATGGCGTGTTGTGACCCACAGGGGTGTGTTGTGACTCACCCGGCTGTCCCATGACTCACGGTGGCACACGGTGACATGCGCCGTGTACGGTGACCCTCACCGGGGTATCGTGACCCGCACTGGTCCATCACGACCCACATCATGACTCATGATGGGGCACAGTGACCCACACCAGTATACGATGACCAAAACCAGTATACGGTGGTCCACACCAGTATATGGTGACTCACACCAGTATGTGGTGACCCACACCAGTATATGGTGACCCACACCAGTGCACAGTGACCCACACCAGTATATGGTGATCAAAACCAGTATATGCTGAGCAAAACCAGTATATGGCGACCCACACCAGTACACAGTGACCCACACCAGTATATGGTGAGCAAAACTAGTATACAGTGAGCCACACCAGTATCTGGTGACCTACAAGAGTGCACGGTGACCCACACCAGTATATGGTGACCCACACCAGTGCACAGTGACCCACACCAGTATATGGTGACCCACACCAGTGCACAGTGACCCACACCAGTACGCAGTGACCCACACCAGTATACGGTGAGCAAAACCAGTATATGTTGACCCACACCAGTGCACAGTGACCCACACCAGTATATGGTGAGCAAAAACAGTATATGGTGACCCACACCAGTGCACAGCGGCCCACACCAGCACACCACCCCGGACATGGTCCTATGGGGCTGGGCAATGGGGTTGGGGGTCTCAGCATGGTCTTGTGGGGCTGGACATGGTCTTATGGGGCTGGCAATGGTCCTGTGGGGTTGGACATGGTCCTGTGGGGCTGGGCAATGGGGCTGGGGGGGTCTCAGCATGGCCCTATGGGTCTGGGCATGGTCCTGTGGGGCTGGACATGGTCCTATGGGGCTGGGTAATGGGGTTGGGGGTCTCAGCATGGTCTTGTGGGACCAAGCATGGTCCTGTGGGGCTGGACACGGTCCTGTGGGGCTGGCAATAGTCCTGGGGGACTGGGCATGGTCCTATGGGGCTGGGCAATGGGGCTGGCGGGGTCTCAGCATGGCCCTATGGGGCTGGGCATGGTCCTGTGGGGCTGGGCAATGGGGCTGGGGGTCTCAGCATGGTTGTGTGGGATTGGACATGGCCCTGTGGGGTTGGACATGGTCCTATGGGGCTGGCAATGGTCCTGGGGGACTGGGCATGGTCCTATGGGGCTGGGGAATGGGGTTGGGGGTCTCAGCATGGTTGTGTGGGGTTGGATATGGTCCTATGGGGTTGGACATGGTTCTATGGGGCTGAGCATGGTCCTGTGGGGCTGGACATGGTCCTATGGGGCTGGGCAATGGGGTTGGGGGTCTCAGCATGGTCTTGTGGGGCTGGACATGGTCTTATGGGGCTGGCAATGGTCCTGTGGGGTTGGACATGGTCCTGTGGGGCTGGGCAATGGGGCTGGGGGGGTCTCAGCATGGCCCTATGGGTCTGGGCATGGTCCTGTGGGGCTGGACATGGTCCTATGGGGCTGGGTAATGGGGTTGGGGGTCTCAGCATGGTCTTGTGGGACCAAGCATGGTCCTGTGGGGCTGGACACGGTCCTGTGGGGCTGGCAATAGTCCTGGGGGACTGGGCATGGTCCTATGGGGCTGGGCAATGGGGCTGGCGGGGTCTCAGCATGGCCCTATGGGGCTGGGCATGGTCCTGTGGGGCTGGGCAATGGGGCTGGGGGTCTCAGCATGGTTGTGTGGGATTGGACATGGCCCTGTGGGGTTGGACATGGTCCTATGGGGCTGGCAATGGTCCTGGGGGACTGGGCATGGTCCTATGGGGCTGGGGAATGGGGTTGGGGGTCTCAGCATGGTTGTGTGGGGTTGGATATGGTCCTATGGGGTTGGACATGGTTCTATGGGGCTGAGCATGGTCCTGTGGGGCTGGACATGGTCCTATGGGGCTGGGCAATGGGGTTGGGGGCCTCAGCATGGTCTTGTG